AATGTGAACAGATAGAGAAAACCTCTGGAAATCTACACAGCCATCAGCTGGCCACATGCCACAAGGGAGACAGACTGACACAGAAGCACAATCTCACTGAAGGCTTCACTATGAAGGGAAAAAGTGTTTACCAGCAAGTAGAGCAGGGTCCTGGGCTTCAAGAACTCAGTTATATTTCAGGCTCTGCCATTCTGTGGCAAGCATAGAAGAAAAGAGGACTCAGTTTCACCCCTTTAAATCTGTCAGGGGTGCCTAGAGCTTTGTATAGGTGCCTTTTTATTATTACTGTTGTAATTATTTTAATTAATAATGAAGGTGGGGGGGGGAGGGAAATAGTGGGACCTGTTAACTGTTTTGCTTCTCCATGATGTAGAGAGGTCTGCAAGGCTTGTGAAAGGATTGTTCTACTTTGTTTACATCAGAAATCCAGGGCCTGTCTAGAATGGAAGACGCTATGATGACTGAAGCTAGTGAAATAATGGCATCAAAAAGGACAACAGATGGAAAGCTGCTGCAGCTGAAAGTAGAGGGAGTTTTTAGCCAGACTGCTTAAAACCATTTTTTGTTAAGACCCATTTAACTCCAACGTCTACTCAACAATTTGGAGAAAGGATATTTTTGTTAAAGATTCAGTGCCCTGGCCCTTTCAGTTAAGGTGAACGAGATCACAATACAGTGGTCCAGCAAAACTAGGGGCACCAAAGTTGACATTCTAATATTTCTAGGGTAAAAAATAAACAGGAAAGAAAACATACAAAAAACTACCACATATTTCAGACCCCGTTTATCCATAAAGGGGCAAAAAAGAAGTAAGCATTTTTTTTTTAAATAATCCTTTTCGGGTCACCTCTAAAGATGGACAGTTCCAAGTAGCATTAGTCAAACCAACCCTCTTGCTGAGAAGCTGGATAGAAACCCAGTGCCCATCCGACAGAGCTGTTCAGAATGGAAGCCTGTTGGCCTCAGGAAAATTCAAAGTGCTAAATATTATCTGTCTCCTGAGCTGCAACCTGAACAGATCGCTAACTACTTTGTGTAAACTTAAATAGTCACGTTGGAATCATGTTAATCTCTACTGTAATGGATTCTGCTAAGGTTCCCAGAGTAACATCACCCCCTTGGCAACTCTATTTCAAGGATACTTTTAGCCCCAGAAGAGTCACCCCAGATTTCAAACAAAACTGTCTCCCAACAAAGCATTTAGGGGTGGGCAGCTCCAGACATTAAAACAAACGTCTTTGAATTCTATTCTCCCTACTCCCCATGTATCACCTGAGGAGCTGCTCAGAATCAGGACAGAGAAGAACAGCAGTAGCTGAAAGAAGCTCATTTTGCTTGTGTGTTTCACCTCTTCCCCCACGCCGGGTCTGTCTTGTCTATTTAGATGTAAACTCTCAGGACATGGATCCTCTACTACTGTGTTGTTTGTGCAGTGGCCAGCACAATGTGGCTCCACTCTAGTTTGACATTTTGGCACTATTGTATAAACGTGAATAATAATAATAAATTTTGGTCACTATTTGAAAAGGCATAAGTGGTAGGGACAAACTGGAAATAAGTCTTGTTCAAAACAGGTTCAAACAAACCTGACCCTGACTCAAACTTTCCCCAGGAGAGACAATTACACCAGTTCTCATTTCCCAAAATTCCAGAATGTGTGTGTGGGAGCAACACCCTCCACTCTTCCTATGAAAAAGAGACCACCACCAAAAAAACCCTCTAAAGCTTTGAGTGAAGGGCGAGGACACTATACAGGAACAAAGGCAATAACCAGCATCTTTGTGAGCAATTTCAGTACACTGTATGGAATGGAAATAGGTTCTTGCCTCATGTGCCTTCGTGCCCTCCATTAAAGTCAATGAGCTTGCAGAGGAAAACTGAGAGCAGAATTTGTTCCCAACTTTTGTATACTCACAATGAAACTGCTTGTTGCGGGCAGGGCCGGCTCCAGGCACCAGCCCACCAAGCATGTGCTTGGGGCGGCGCCTGGAGGGGGGCGGCGCGGTGGGGCGCTCCGGCCCGAGAGCGGGGCCGCGACTGGGCTCTCCGCCCTCCCCATGGCACTCCATCCGCCGGGGAGAGCAGAGCCGCAGCGGGCTCGCCGCCCTCCCCCCAGCACTCTGGCCGCCTGGGGAGAGTGGAGAGCACCGGCCGGGC